TTAGCAAAAAACTATTCTTTTCGTGTAGATAAAAGAAACGACACAGATTAAACGAGGGAAAATTTTGTAGATGCGGATCCAGGTTGATCTGCGGACCCGGTTTCACCCTGGACCCGACGACCGGACAGTATTGCATCGACGTTGACGAATGTCGGGAGGGAACGCACGAATGCGGCAAAGGACAAATCTGTGAGAATCGACGAGGCGGGTATCATTGCATCTGTCCGCCTGGTCATGCACTTGGTCCCAATAACGATTGCGTTGACATCGACGAATGTAGTTACGCTATTGGTATTTGTGGACCGAACAGCCGCTGCGAGAACACCGTTGGCTCATATAAATGTCTATGTGGGGAAGGCTTCGAAAACGTTGGAGAAACATCCGGTACCTGTCAAGTGAGTCATACCGTACAATTCGGATAGATAAAAATTAATACTTTAAAATCTCGTCTCGAAATTTAATCGCGATTGCTTCCAGGATATCGACGAGTGTCAGCGAACACCGGGACTCTGTCAACACATGTGCTTCAACGTGTGGGGCAGTTATCGATGTGGATGCGAACCTGGATTCAGACTAAATGCCGACAACCGTTCTTGCAGCGATATTGACGAGTGCAAGGAGTTCAAGGACAACCATCTCTGCATCGGAATCTGCGAGAATACGCCGGGAAGCTATGCGTGCAAATGTCCCGAAGGATATAGGCTCGGTAACGACGGTCGAACGTGTCAAGGTGATGATTTTTAGATTTCTACGTATACAGAAAAGCAATTGTACGAAAAAATAATTGAATATGAAGATATTGAACGATTAAATTAAATTAGGATTTTATGTTAAGAAGAAAAGACCTAATTATGATTCGAAGACTGACAATATACGTTTGTGAATCAACGCGGTCGCACGAATCAATAGGATGAAAAGTGAGAGCTCGTTTACATGAGTCATGATGTCGTAGCTTCGTGAGCATTCCACTTACTTATCTCGCAGTTAAAACAGCGCGACGATGTAATTTGTACTTGACCCGTTTGCCGGTAAACTGGAGCATCAGCTCGGGTCACCGGTCCACACGAACGTTCCTGTAATCTCCTCGATCTCTTGCAATCACGGCATCGTTGGCGGTCACGATACCGCCACGTGCTGTAACGTACTTAATTGTCTTCTACGTATGTTCACAGATATCGACGAGTGTGAGGCAGGTCAAGTATGCAGGGATGCGGAAGAGATGTGCCAGAACACGCGCGGAAGTTTCCGATGTAATCGGATAAACTGTCCCTCAGGGTACCATCGGGACCCCATGAGAAAAAAGTAAATGATTAAATGATAGATTTAATTTTCTTTAACTTCAATTCTCAGTATGTCACATTTGTGATATATTCGTTTGAATTAATTTTGAATATAAATAATTATTTGATCGACTTGTGTGTGATGATAAATCTGTAAAGAAGGATGTTAAAAAGGGACCGATTAGATTTTGACCTCCTGGATACAATAAATTATCAAAAAGTTTGTGACGTTTAAGGAACACCTCAAAAATTAAGCAAGAATATTGAAATTTGAATAAAAACACCAACTTCGTGCTCAACTTTTGAAATGTTCCCCAAACTTTTTAATTATTTTTCGTATTTATAGGAGGTCAAAATTTATTTTAAAAAACACTATTCCTTCTACTTGCACCTTTTTTACGCCAATCGGTCTCTTTTTAATCTTCTTTTTCCATTCGCAATTTTAGCCGCTGTGTACGCTCCTCGAGATTTTGCCGCATGGACGACCTAGCTTGTCTTCGGTCGCCATCGCATTATTCCTACAACTTCATTACCTTCGTGAGCATGCTGCCCATGCCGTCTACCGGTCAACTGGAACTGTTCACTATGAGGGGAAGCTATCAGTCCGAATCGATGGTACATTTCACCATGGCATTGGTAGACGTGCGCGCACCACCGGGTATCGAACGTGCCACGGAGTCCTGCTTTGCCCTGAAGAGACCGGCGCCGTCACAAGCGGTCCTGGTGCTGACGCGCACGATTCCTGGACCGCAGGAGATCGAGCTGGATCTCACAATGGAGATCTATCAAGACGCTACGTTCGTCGGAAGTGCCATCGCTAAAATCTTCATTTTCGTCTCGCAATATGAATTCTGAGAAAATCTTTTGAACGAAGATAAAATACGGATGAACGAAGATGGAAGTTAAAATCGTAAAATAAAGTGACGTAATTTAGAAATACGCTTAATTGTCCGATTTACGTGATTGCCTCTTTTTCCACAGTGTTATTGTATCATAAGAGCAACAAGCATTATATATTCAAATCTTGTTTTATGTGATAATTTCTTAAAAATATGAAATTTTTTCTGTTGCTATAATCTGTTGAATAAAACTTCCGTTTTAATACATACACGGGATGATCCAGACCAGCCGGAGAAACTGGCATGTACTCTTTATGAGAAAAACTGAATCGATAAGTTCTTTATCGTTTTGCAATGGTCGCATCAGTTAACGAGATATTAATTTCTAAAAATTGCCGAATAAGCGGGTAAAATGAATAGACAACATTAAAATATCTTTCAAAGTTCTTTATGAAATATCTCAAAGATATTTTTTAAAGAACTCTTAAAGATATATCTTAAAGTTGTCGTAAGAGTCGATTTTAGACATTTTGCTTATTGGATAATTAAAAGAAAATTGCGAAAATTGCAAAATAATAGAGGACTTTTCGAGTTAGTTTTTCATAAACAATACATACATGCCGGTTCCTCCGGCTGCCTGGATCACCCTGTATAAACAAACATTTTTCTTTCAAGAAATAAAATGTAATTAACATTTTAAGCAACATATGTTTAAGACTAATGATACGAATCTTTTTCATTTTCTGCTCATTTTTAAAACTATAAGTATTAAAAATATACACGAGCTAGCATTTCGATCGTAGATATGTAAAAAGACGAATTAAATGTATATAGATTCCTGTAAGTTAACATACATAAAGGATATAACACAAAATAAACTTACGTTAAATGATGTATGAAATTTATAATAATTTCCAAGCACTCACTTGATATTTTATAAAATCGCAGCTTTATTAAATGTTTCACTAGCGACACTCTCTTCCCTCTAATTTACACGATTCGCTGTTCGTAATCGGAACAACGCCTATTGCTTCGAATCTAACTCTTCACTTCTCCTTCACAAAAGACGAATAAAGCAATAAATCTGAGATCCTTAGTGTTAATTGCCGCTTCGTTGCATGATACGCGCGTTAACGTATATAATGTTATATGTATATATAACATAATATTTTTTATATATACATAAAAGACTGTAATAAAAAATATAATATAATATCACTGCGCGTTTTATATATAACGACAATCGTCGCGTTGGATGCGAATAACGAACGCTCACCCATTGGTGTAGCGAATTGCTATTATATATTATTAATAAGTGATTTAATAATTGTACTAAAGATAATTACGGTTGCTATCGCAATGACGACAATATCGTCGATAGCGAACGATAGCGATAGCGTAAATCAGAATATAATCGTAATAAAATAATAATAATTATATAATCGTAATAACAATAATAATCTAAATAACTAGCGACAACTATAATAGCGGTATTAATGTACACACGATAACAGGAAAAATAGAACAATTCGGGCGGAACGCGTTGCGTGCGGCACGCCGAGAAAATGCATACGATAGAATAGAATATATCGTGTCGCACAGAGAGAAATTTCTTCGGCACGATGCGTTGGTGATACATACACCTGTACGTTACGAGAGGACGCGATTATGTCATCGAAAAATCTCGTCGAGACATATGGCTCGAAACGCATCATCAATATAACATGTAATATCTAGGACACGGCTGGTCTTTCGCGAGGTTTCACGGTGAGTCATTTTATACCCATTTATATCGACATAGATTAATTTTAATCTCGGTTCAACTTATACTCTTCATCTTTTTTTAATTCTTAGAAATAGAAAAAGAAGAGTTAGTTGAACCAATACTAAAATAAAACTATATATTATATCAGAAACGGGCATTATTCGCCTAATTGGTCCTGTAGCGTGTACTAATTCTTTTGGTAAGATAAGTAAGAAAACGAGAGTAAGGGCCATGGCTCACAAAAAAATTTGAACAGTTAAATGTAAGCAGTAGGCGAATTGGCCAATCACAGTAGAGACCGTAAGGCTATAACGTAAGCAAATCCAACATATTAATTTCTTTACTGCTTACGTTTTACTGTTTGCCGTGTGCCATGGCCTTGAGTGTCGACACCCGTGAAAATAGTAGCATGATTGTGTGTAGCATCTGGAGCCAGTAGCATCCGAGCCAAGAAAACTCATCCGTGAAACTTCTACGTCTCTCCGCAGTCCCAGCTATAGCATACAACGAACTTCCAACAAACGTACGCGTAAACACAACTAATAAATAGTATAACTATAAACGTAACAGCCTGGATACAGCGGCAACGCGTAACAACGATGGCAGTGACACTCGTCGCTCGTCCTTTGTTAGATTCTAGAAAAAATGGAAAAGGAGCGTTGACTAGGATTTGCTAGAAATTTACTGGGGCTTCCTCTTTGTGCCCTTGCGCCGTGTAACGCGCGGCGAGATGTTGCTAGCCAGTTTTAAGTACACGATGACAAACTATGTGAAAAGAGATAGCGATATTTTTCTACGTATCTACAAACACGTGTCGCTATAAAAAAAAATAAATGTACGGAACTAAGAATCAATCAAAACTCGTCGAAAAGATCTATTTCTCTTCTGAATAATGCGAAACTTACTGTTTATCTTTTTACTACTTAGACGCATTTTGACAAATTTTTATTTTTACTTTTGCAAACACGCGCTTATCACACGTCAGATTCTTCCCTTCCAGCATTCCACGATCTCATATTTCAGTATCGTAAGAGAGAACAATTTTTTAAACAAGTCCAAAATAGTTGAAAAAATATTTCAAGAGAGCAGAAAAAATATGCGCAAGAACACATTCATAGATTTGTTTGTGTGTTAAGCTAATATTCTCCTGAAATATTCAACATTTTAAAAAATCTGTTTAACTTTCCACACATAATTTAGTTAGGCAACGCGGTGTCTTAACGAATCGCGAAGTGGAGCTCGAATTTCGACAACAGCGTGCTTTCGGCAAAAAACTCTCTTTTTTACATGGAAAAATTCTTACTTCGAACGATACTACACTTTGCACGCTACGTGATCGCGAATGTGTAATAAAACTATATATACTCGATTTACTCGATGAAACTAATCTACTGGATATCAATAAACTTACTCGATATATAGGCACTGAACTAGGGAGATCTGCGCCGTGAAAAATAAATATACTAACAGCTACCTGTTTAACGGAGGTAGTAGCAATGCAGTTGACACTCTCCTAGTTGTGACCGTCTTACATTTTGTGTAATGAAAAGTGTCACCGGATAAATATTTCATAACTGGTTACGACGTTTATATCACATTAAACTCGATAATTTCCGTCGAATGATTTTCGCACGAGAACGAGGGATCAGCGTAAAAATGCTGCTGTGCGTAAAAATAGTGCATAGATAGCTCTCTTTCAAGATTTTAAGTGTATTCTGTTCTCACTCTCTAAAACTTTTAGAGTAAATCTCGCTCTTAAAGATAAAAAAATTGAGCCACTTTTTTTCAAAATTCAATTTTCACTTTTTACAGTGAGACTCCACTCCAAAAAGCTAACAGAGTACTTAATGCTTTCGCGCGACATAATATTGATTTAAGAGGAACGATAGAGCTATACCTACTTGGACTCACAAAACATCGTTATTGCGACGATGGCAGTCTGACCGATTACTTACTGATTTAACTAGTCTTCTTACGTGGGCAAATTAACATTTCTTCAGAGAAGATCTGCCGAAATGAGCCACGTGCTTACAGGTGATTTCTTCTGGTTTTGTGAAAACAATGTGCAAATTTATAAATCAACGGAAGCACTCGCATCGCGCGGTCTTTCACAAGACACACCTTCTCGCGGACTTATACGCGTGACATTCTTATTTACGGCCTCCTCCCACCCCCGAGAAATGCTGCGCGTAACGGTATCTTGACGTACTTGCTTGGCCGTTATTTCCTTAACCCTTATCCTGAGAAAGAAAAAGGTACAAAAACGGATGTTTTTGTATCTCTCATCGTGTAATTAAAATTCATAAAAATTCGACCGTAGTAATTAATAATTATCTTTTTGTAGCTGAAGAACTTTATCACTGGCATTCAAATGCCACTTTACGGAAAAGAAAAAGTTGCTTGGGTAAGATCTAAAACAGGTATCTGAGAGATCTCGCTGCCAATTCGGTCGCCTGAGCGGTTCTTAAGGAAACCACAGCGCGCGTTCCTCGAGAATCCGCCGGCGAGCATCAGGCGGTCGTGTTATTGTCCAACTCGGCGAACTCGCGCGTCACCTTGCAGACGTAGTACAGACGCTCGTAGAGGTCCGGGGTGCAGCCGAGGTCACGCAGGTCGTTCAGCCAATAGGAGGATGCGTGTCGGCCGGTGTCGATGTAAGTGATCAGATAGCCCCTTCCTCCCGCGGATTCCTGCGACACCACCATCTTCGTGTGGTCCACGAAGAAGTTCACTTGCAGGAGTGGTACCGTTAGCTCCATCACGATGGCCTTGTCCGTACGTAGCCATCGTCTCATTCGCGGCACGCAAGCGTTTTTCGACTGCCTCGGCGGCGCGCGGTATTTTTTTAGCTCACCACCTAGATGGCACACATTAACGCGGAGTTACATTAACGTTTTCGCTTATTAACCTTAGATCGCCATAATAGTGCAATAAACAAGAAATATTTGGAACATTTCGGTCAAATTGCAGTAACGTCACAACGTTGCTGCAATGTTACTGAAATGTTCCAAAACGTACCAAAATGTTTTTTGCTTACTGAGCGGTACAAATAGGCCCTATATTCTCATGTTATGTTTCGTACTTGAAAGACAAAAGTATACAAGCCTCGCGAAGACGAGTTGCGTTTCTTCCATTTAAAGAAATGAAAGCTCTGCGTGCACAATAAATTATAATAGGCGATTTTTGGCGTGCCTCTGGTATAGCAACCAAAAGCAACCGCGGTTGAGGCTATCTTTGTCTTCTGATCCCTGAAAACGAAGATGGCCTCAACCGCGGTTGCTTTTGGTTGCTATACCAGAAGCACGCCAAAAATCGCCTAATATATACGTATAAAAACAATATATTTGATCACACTTACCTTCTGTCAAAAAGTCATCCATATATTCGGTAAAATGACGGAGTAATTCGAGCTTCTTTTGCAACGGTGCCGGTACGTCCCTCTCTCGATGATATCGCGTCATCTCGTCGTCGGTGGTCATATATTCCACTCTTCTGTATTAATATTACAAATTTAATCAAATTAATTAATTAGTAAGAAATTAAAATCTTATGAAAAAAGTTAATATTATAAAAAATAACGCATTATTATTATTTCTCATTAATATCTCTCGATATTCACCTTCTATCATGAGTGTAGCTGATCTTCGTGTTGTCGTTGAAGAGAACACCAACCGATCTGTCGGAGAGTTGGAAGCCCAGCCCGTACTTGTTCGAATAATCGATCCACTTGGTGACGAAGAGCGGCACGATGTCTTCTACAGTAGGTGGATTGCACGCGTTATTCCGCTTCATTTCCGGCACGCACGCCTCTAGTGCGCGATGCATCTGCATGCTTTGCGCCACAAGACCGGTTTTCTTGTGATCCGGACAGAGCACGCTGCTGAGCCGTTGCCGAAATCGCGGTAGTTTCGGTAACTTCCTGACGAGCCAGCTAGAGACCTTGGACTCCTTTTGCAGACTCTTCTGCG